AAAAACCCATGATAGCAAAAGGTTTATTTTGTTGCTGAGGGGGCCATAATAGAACAAGGTTTACTCTGCTATTGATAAACCCATAATAGGACAAGGTTGATTCTGTTGCTTACACACCTATGACAGGACAAGATTAATTACTGTTGAGGAACCTACGATAAGACAAGTTTTATTCTGTTGTTGAACGACCCATGATATGACAAGGTTTATTCTGTTGCTGAGGAACCCACGATCGGAAAAGATTTATTCTGTAGTTCATAGGTCCATGATAGTACAAGATATATTCTGTTGTTGAACGACCAATAATGGAATAAGGTTTGGTCTGTTGTTAAGGAACCCATGATAGTACAAGGTTTATTCTGTTATTGAACGACCCATGATATGACAAGGTTTATTCTGTTTTTGAACGACCGATGATAGGACAAGATTTACTGTTGTTGAGGAACCCATGATAGAACTAGGTTTACTGTTGTTGAATGACCCGTGATTGAACAACATTTGATCTCTTTTTGAAAGACCCATGATAGGACAAGATTTATTCTGATGTTGAGGAACCCATGACAGGACAAGATTTATTCTGATGTTGAGGAACCCATGATAGAACTAGGTTTACTGTTGTTGAATGACCCGTGATTGAACAACGTTTAATCTCTTTTTGAAAGACCCATGATAGGACAAGATTTATTCTGATGTTGAGGAACCCATGATAGAACTAGGTTTATTCAGCTGAATGAATTCAGATTACTCACACAATTGATGATGATGATGATGATAAGATTGCTAAAGAACAGAGTTATGGATGAACTACGCTATACAGATATGAAATGCTAAATAAAACACTTTTACAGACCTAGGCAATAAATTAAAGAGCCAATAAACTAGTTCACCAATCACTGCTTGCCCATCCTGGAGGACACAAGTTCTCTAAAGTCCACAGATTGGGTGTACTAATCTTAACAGGAGTATTGACATTCTGTACAGAAAAATATAACAGAAACGCATTTGATTAAATTTCGACTTGACGTATTATTTTGCCCACACCTATAAATTCAATAAGTATCAATTTAATACTACGTGGCGCTGCCTCTTATGTGACGTCAAACCATATGCAGCGTTAAAGTCAAAAGCAAAATGTTATACTTTTAAATTCACAAACCTTTTATGAGATAAACGCTAGATGGCGCTGCCCCTAATTCGATTTCAAACCATATGCAGCGTTAAAGTCAAAAGCAGAATGTTATACTTTGAAATTCATGAACCTTTTATGAGATAAACGCTAGATGGCGCTGCCCCTAATTCGATTTCAAACCATATGCAGCGTTAAAGTCAAAA